GCTTGTCTGTTGAGCAGATCATAACACGTGTCCATTTCCTCTTCCGTAGAACAAACGACAAAACAGTCGTCTATGTAGCGGCAGTACACAATAGGCCTTCGATCCAGTAACGGCTTTTCTATTTTGGACATATAAGCTATGGCCAGTACGGGTGCCAGCCGCTGCCCCATGGCCCGTCCCCTGATCTGCCTATAGTATTGCCCGGACCACCTAGAAATAGAGCACTCAAGACACACTTCGATAAAAACCATTATCTGGGTGATGGAAAGGCCGTAGGTGTTTACCGATGATTCATATTCATTAGGCAGTTCCAGAGTGGCCTGCATAGCATCCTTATTCGACACATTGGTGTAAGGGGATGTAACATCGAAAGATTCCATGACGTAATTGGGTCTTAAACTAGCCGCCCGCAACCTGTCGAGAAACATATTGGTGTTGGTGAGGTGTGCAGGTATATACTGCAGCAGCTGTACTAAGACCAGGTTTAGCAGCCATGAAATTCTGTCCGTGGGGCCGCCTACACCGCTTATTATTGGCCGTACCCGGTAGTCTGCTGGATTGTTTGATGTTAAGGTGGCCTGGGAAAGCTTATGTGTTTTGATGAGTGTGTAAAGAACCGGGCAGGTAGGGAGATCCAACTTTAACCTCGTACCTACCGTTTTTGGTAGTTGCGAAGATCGCACTGTTTCAACCCACACCCTGTTAAGTCGCCGGTATTGCTTATTATACTCCTCCAAAGAAGATGGTCTGTAAAGAGTCTCGTCCTCTAGATGTAGACGTGTTATTGCGCGATCTAATTCCCGAGGCAGCACCACAAACTCCCCTCCCTTATCGCTAACCGATATTTTAATACTATCGCTAGTTGCGAGACTCTTGAATTCCCTAAGTCCCTGTTTTTGGGCTACGGTTAGATTTCTTGCAAGTCGCAAATGGATGTTACGCCTAAGTATGCTAAATACCGAGGTTGCAAAAGGCGGAACTTGACATCTACTGCTACGTTAGGGTCCTGGGGTTTGAAAAACGGGGTAGGGAAAGGTATGGCTGGTAGCTTTAACCTTGCTTCACTTTGTGAACCGGTTTGTTGTAACTTGGCTTTGAGGCGCAACCCATCCTGCAAAGTTTGCAGAGAGCCTAGGATTTTACGCGATACCTTCTGGCTTATTGGTTGAGTAGGAGCGAAACTGGGGCCAAGGTCTAAGACTGATAGTGTATTGTCGGAAAGACTAATATTGCCCATATCACCGATTACAGTAACCCTGCTACCAGTTGGATGTTCTGCCTTGTTTTGGCCAAACCTTGATTTGGTTGGGGTGGTATCTTGTGGTTTTGGTTTTGATTGCGATAAGTTATGCCCCTTCAGATCCACTAGTCTATTGAACTTGTTTTGAAGCCTCACCTTTGTGGTTGAGCGGATGGAATTGCAAATTATCTTTGACTCGCCCACAATCCAATCCCATTGGCGACTAGGCAGTAAGCGCTGACAACACATTTCTTTTGACAAGCATTTGTTTAACATAGAAAAAACCTGGTTTTTCTTGCATTTCAAAGTTTTCCTCAGAATGTGAAGTTCAATGTCTTCTATCTGCTTGCTGCCAGCTGGGAGGCCGCATAGCTCGTGCAGTCGTTTATTTCTGATGAAATTAGGGACGACGTGATATTTAAGGCAGCGCCGAAGAAAGTGGTTCATCTGCTTCGCTACTGTGATCTTCTGTCGTAGCGAGAGAGTTCCTTTAGGAGTCGAAAATAATTGGTTGGTACATGTTTCATAAGCATCCATGTTCGACTCTCAATAAATCTTGGCATGTTTTGCAATAATTTTATAAGATTTTATTAAAACCTGATGCCAAGATGTCTTTTGACAAGCATTTGTTAAACATAGAAAAAACCTGGTTTTTCTTGCATTTCAAAGTTGTCCTCAGAATTTTTGAAGCTAAAGTGTTGAATGAGGAATGGATAGCAATTATCTTTAGGTTTCCAACTCTGAGGAAGGCGATAACGCCAAAACTTAAGTTGATAAGAACTTGTTTACCATCTCGGCATCAGGTTTTAATAAAATCTTATAAAAGTAAGCAAAATGTTCTCTGAAATTCATTCATCCACAAGCATAAGTTTGAAAAACCTTAGTAACAGCAAAAATAGCCCACTTTTCCTGCCTCTTGGGGTAGAAAATTAGATAAGGGAGCGCAGCAGCTAAAAGAATAACAGAGGACAAAAGAGTAGGAAAAAAACATCGGCTCACTGCTCGGCGATCAGCTGATTGTGTGTGGGTTTTGGAGCGAATATTGCAATCTGTATCGCCTCGACACTCGTCTGACATGACATCGATCGAGGGGCGGGAAGTCCGGGCGTTCCTGTAGCGAGACTGCCACTATGTAGTAACTGTCGAGTTTTTGGGCGCGAGCGGGTCCTTCTTGTTACCCTTGGGGGCCACTGGATATAGAGGGGAGACTCAGAAACCAATTTCATTGTATAGTTTGTCGGAACGCCCCTTCATTTTTTGGTCTTCTCGTCCAGCCCCATTTTTAACGATTTTTTCGAAGTCTTTTATCACTTCGAAAACACCGATACGCGCACTTTCTTCACCTTCTTCGCACTATTTTCCACCTTATCTTCCATTTTTCGTCATAATCTGGATTACCGAAAATTATCGTGAACTGTGTTTTTAATCATATGTTTAATAAAGGATCACTTTGTGATGTGTTGCACACGCTAACTTGCACAGCTCAAGTGGTATATAAGCTCCAACTCGTGTACGCCCATTCACTCTTGTTGCCGTCCAATAGATATTGCATTGCTGCTCGTTCCATTGGCACAACAGTTTTATCTCTTTCCTATTTTGGTGTCCATACATATTCAGATGTCGATATTGCTAAGAAGGCGCTGGAAAAAGCAGACAATACCAGTAGTAATATTGCGCAACTTCAAGACACCCTTGACGCTGTTAAATTGAAGCTCGAAAACCAAAAAGTATGGTTTTTGGTTGTATTGTTTTTGTCGAAGTTTTTGTTTTTTCTCTGTACGAACTTGATATGTCCATTTTGAGGGACGTAGTTCTGTATTTTAGGATAGTACTATCACTGACGTCTACTCATTAGCTGCTAGAGAGCAGGAGATTGCTAAGGCGAGTATTTTCTTCCTAAAACTAATTTGGAGTCTCGTACTTTGTGCTTCAATGTTCTACTCATTCCACCTTTTGCAGTGCCTTTATGATTGGTTTCATGCTTGCGCACCTTTATCTAAGGGAGTTATAGCCTAGTGATTGAGAGACAATCCCATGCCCGCATTCAGGAAAGGCCTGCGTTCGCTTTAACGGAGTCAGAAATCGCGCCCTGCGAATTCGCAGGAATTGTGCTTCGTATCGACGCTAGGTAGAGGTTGATAAGTCGGCTGATTCGTCACAGCAGATACGTTACAGTTGTGAACCTAGAGCGCCACCCAGAAAGCATCGCCCGAATTCTGTGGATAGCGTGCTAGGGCACCGAGGTGAGAATGATTTAGAGAAGTTAGTTCGAATTGGGACATTAAGTGACTGTTTACCCTCTGGGGTGTCCTGAGAGATGACTGATTCTGTGAAGCGGAGAAATATCAAAGGTCATGTCTTCAGGAGACTCGCTGAAGGAAGTATAATAAAAGCTTGAGAGTTCAGGGAAGATGGCAAGCTCTACTACAACGGAGAAGACATCAGCGAAAATGGTGTGATTGTAACAGCGGCGGACTCTCGGAGAACTCAGTTTCTTTTGTTAGCGGCAACAGCGCTCCAATCACTGGCGGCGATGATGAATGTGAAGGAGGGATGCAGGACAGTATTATTTGCGTATGCAAACGCGAGCCGGCTGCTCTTTGTATGGGAGGGATGGGTTTTATACGAGTCTTGACCATGCAGTGAGTCTGTTCCTGAGAGAAATTGCCTCGCAATATCAGGTAATTGGAGTGGTCACGTTGAGAGGGAACGAAAAGGCTCCGAAGGGGTGCACGAAGATAAGGGAATAGTATTCAGAAACGAAGGAGATCTTTCACTTAACTACAACCCACGATTTAACAGTCTGCAGCATCACCCTTGAAAAGGTCAGAGGGCAACCTATAGTAGTGAAGGGAATTGAATGCTAATAGACCATGTGTTCGTAGTAAGATCCCTCGAAGTTCCACAAGGCGTCAATATTCTGTCTGGCGAATAGATGGCTTCGCAGTACAGGCTTATCCTCCCATATAGCTATCGAGCTTACCAATAAATCAAGGGGGATGGAACAGAGGATTTGGTGGCGTAAGCTGCACATAGTAAAATAAGAGTCTTAAATTTATGATGTTGGCGTCTCGTCTTCCAGACACCCAGGGACCGATCTAGCGGAATCAAAACAACGCTGGGAAAGTAATCTCAAGGTGTGCAAGGAAAACGCGAGCCCAAAGCTAATAGGACTTAAAGTAGGCAGTGCAGAAGGGATTCGTGCAACGATGAGGTCTGGCGAGTTGTAGGGCATAGGAAAGCCGCCTACAAACGTCGGAAACTTTATAAGAACTAGCTGTCCACAAAAGTTGCAGGAAACTTGCCAAGGCCGAATCAGCGAAAAAACTGCATTCGAAATTAGACCCCTCATCCGAGTAGCTCAATAATCAGAAGGAAAGAAGTCCGTTATTTAGCCAGGCCCTACATCGGGCCACTCAGGACATCTCGATAGTAAAGACCATCGGGATCAGCGATGCCATGCTAAGAAGCAAGCAAAGCCTAAGCGCAATCGAAAATAATGCAAGTTCGTGAACGAAGATTCTTACCGTGACAGTAGTCTCCAGGTAATGTCTAGTCCCATCGCCCTCTCCACAGAAGACTATGTCCGTTGATCAGTAGAGAAAAATAATGAAGGGAAGGCAACTGGTAACGATCGGTGAATGAAGGCTGCTCACAAATTGGTCCTTCAACATTATAGCCGCTGAAGGATAAGTTCAGAATACATGGAGAAGTGTTACTACTTAGTGTTCCCATTTTCGAGCAGAGGTGGGACGCGAACTGGGGTGTGGTGCAGTAGGAGCGAAATTGTCGCCTCGCGGCGAGAGAGACTCCGCATGCAAAGGAATATAGCAGAATGCAGCAGCAGGTAAGAAATACAGGAACAAAGGAAGTAACAGTAGAATCATGACTAAAATAAGGATCGCATATCGATTGAGCTGTATTAGGAACTCTAGAGCTGTAATGACGGCAGACGAATGGCCCGCGGCAGCCGCGTGCGGCGAATCGTTTACAGAAAACCGTTCCTACTGCCCGTCTCCCGGTTAAGTGCGCACACTTTGAAACATTACGTGCGACTTATGAACTATAAGTTGATATTTGTTCTAATCTCATAATAACAACTCGGATTCGTGCTTCGAAAGTTTGCAAATGATACCATCTCCATAAACGGACAGGCGATGAAGAATTATCGAGTAAGACGCAGGCTCTGCTACACGGGTGCGCTTCGTTGCGCGTGCCCGTCGAAACTAGGTCACGACGCAGCCGTCGCATGCGGCGAGTCAGCCCGCGATACTTGACGGACGTCGCAGCTGTAAGCGGGGCATACGATCTGCGCTTTCTCCACGGTAGTCAGTCAAGGAGAAGATAACATAGACAAATGCAAATCGTTCGCTCCACTCACACTTGGTGGTACTGTAATGTCATCTCGAGACCTCGGGGGAGGTCGCCGCGCGCGAAATGGGCGGGGTGACCTACTTTCGACGGACACGCGCAACGGACGTTCGCCCTGCTACACAGCCATCACCGATCAGCAGAAGCTATCGACTGCCTCCCTCTCGCTGGCTAACTTTTGAGGAGACTGTAAGGAGTGCTTCGAAATAAATGTTACGGACATCTATTATCCTTTCTCAAGAATTTGTATATAGATGTAATACAGCTGTACGCACCCCTCATAGCATTACGAAAGCAACAGACCTCGTAGTCAGCACGCCCAGGGATTGCTACATATACATACCAGTCGTATCGCCCGGCCAACGCTTCCCTTCCATGTAAAGTTGGCCTGCTGCCTACGTCTTCCAAAATATGAGCGCTTCGGTGCTGCTCGGTGCTGATCCTGCTCAACCCATGTGTGTTTGAGTAACTTTGTTCATTGCCTCTTCTTTAATATTCGGTCGTGTCACCTGCCATCAGCAGTCCCGTACGGCCGCCTGTACACCGAGTTTTTGCGATCTAGGTCCAACTTGGCAATTTTTCCGCACGCCTCTCCCTTTCAAGGGAAAATCTATTGGGTTGTCCGAAAAGTTTCCGCCGATTTTTGATTCATCTTTGAAAGAAAATTCCTAGAAGAAGAAATCCATTGAATGAACAATATATCCTCCATTCTGTTGAGTAAGGATTTGCCATCTTTCTGAAGGTTCCAGTTCCCCCCTTTCATAGAAGGTTCCAGATTTAAAATCGAAAAACCCTCTCAGGTGCTTTTTGCAGTCCTCTAGCGGATTGAACGATTTCCCATTCACAGAATTTTGCAGAAACCTAAACAAGTGGTATTCTGATGGTGCTATGTCTGGACTATATGGGGGGTGTGGTAAGACATCCCGCCCGAGCTTTAGCAACTTTTGACGAGTGGCCAAAAATACGTGTGGTCTGGAGGCACCCTGTTGGAAGATTACGCCCTAACAATTGGCCACTTCGGGTCGCTTTTGGTCCATCGCCGCCTCCATAGTTTCTAGCTAACTATAGTACCTTTCCAAAGTCATCGTTTGATTATGCGACAACAGCTCATGGTAAGTGATTTCCTTGGAGTTCCATCAGCAACTCGGCATAATATTCCGCACCCAGATTTTGACTTTGCAGCGGTCTGTGACGGCTCACTAGAGGGGCTCCACGATCGCTTCCGCTTCTCACTGTTGTACGCAATCCAATTTTGTCCTTCGTGCTCATTCATTTAAGAAACGGCTCGTTTTTATTTCGTTTGAGCAACGAGTCGCACGATGAAGGCGCGGTCCATCACATCGCGCTCGCTCATTTCGCGAGATATCTAAACACCAACTCGTTTTACAAATCGAAGTGACTGCAGATGACCATGAATGGTCAACTTTGAAACACTGAGTCCTTGTCCTACTCCACGAGTAGCTATGTGCTGATTCGCTCTGGTTCACATTTTGATTTGGTCGCTTCAACTGATGATGGTCTCCCTGAAGGTTGCCGGTCTTTGAGCTTGAATTCACTCTGAGTGGATTTCGCAAACTAGTCATGCACTGTACGTTCCTCTAGAGCATGGTCTACTCAAACGTCATATATCTTTCGTGCGTCTTGAGCCGCATTCTAGGCCTTGTGGTAGAAGAAATACTTCAGATGCCGAAAATGCGCGCAGTGGTTCTCCATTTTCACACGAGTCCTGTACAGACAAACTCCGACAAATGTTGACAGAATTCCAACAGTAACATAGAGGAGGACCTACTCTTTCAAAATACATATAACTTTATGAGGTTGGGTCCTCCACCTTTTGCACAACAGTTGATAAATCCGGGGCGCCGAAAATCGGCGGGAACTTTTCGGACAACCCAATAGTTTGCCACCTGCCATCAGTGTTTCCATTCTGCCGCCTGTACTCCTGCCGAATTTGAAGGCTTAAGGGCCACGGGAAGAGGTGTTATGAGTTTCCATTCAAGATACACCGTCACACCCCGTTACATACACTCTGCTCGTTCCCTTTTCATCTGTTATAGCTCCATATCAAGTAGTACAAATCGAGACAGGTCAATATCGGTTGCAACTATTAATCGCTGCGTTTACAGCTATATTACTTCGACGTCCCTTCAACGTCCTCGAAGTTGGAACATTGCACCGTTCAAGGGAACAAAGTGGCCACTGATCGGTCATTTACATTTACATTTACAACAGATAGGAATAGCGAATCGGTATGTCGGCCAACATCCCAACACGCAGATCCTAATACAGAATACCATATGACTGACGGGAGTAAAACTGTGGATTGAAGGTGCTGTATTCCCACCTTCCCACCAAGTTTTAACGCTTTAGGTACACGGGAACAGGAGCTATGTGTTTTCATTGAAACCACTGTTATCGCACGCCACCCTCTCCGTGGGCTTTGCCCGGCTCAGATCATGTGTTCCTGAGTGGCCTCATTCCCCATCGGATCAAGCTGGATAATCTGTTTCAGTTCAGCAAAAGCGTGGGTACCATGTAAGGTGGTGATAAACACAAAAACATCAAGAGACAAACAGACTGACAGAAACACGGGCATTTGTGGTTCATATTCGAGTTTGTTGAACCTATCTGCACCTTTGTCCAGT